GCTATCTCCTCTACCTCACAATGTGTATACCCCAGCTTGATACCTGACCCTGCACCAAGGTTAATAAAACCACAGCTCATTTCAAAAAAACAGCAACCTCCCGTTACCACACATCCCATCTTACAACCCCTCATACATCCACTTATCACACACTTCTCCCACATTATCTCCCCCTTACTCTCCCCACACATTTCCCATTTATCACCATCTCATTTTTCACTGTTAAACTGAAAGTGAGTGTGGGAAAGAAGAGTGAGGAAAATCTGCAAAAGTGAGAAGATAGAGCGTGAGAAACGGAATGGGTGTGTGTGAGAGAAAGGGTGTGTAGGAGAGGGAGGGAAAGTATGAGAGAGAGAGACATTTCTCAGTTTATTCTGACACTATCCTTTTACTTCTTGAACCTAGAACTGAACTGGGTGGGAGAGGGAAGGTGGACACCTCATCTCTAATAGTTCATCTGAAAGTCAAATTTGACTCAATGCAAGATGTTGGCGAATCACTGTAGTTACATCTTCTCTGCTTGACCATTTAAATGCATGGTGTGTTGGTGCAGTTAGTGATGGGAGGTTAGCATTTGAGGGTGTTGTTACCTTTGGTACCAAGGTCACTTCTGCCTTCTCAGGCAGATGTAATAGATCACATTATGAAAAAGGGGTGCTCCCCTGGACCAAGTTTTACCATGTATCACAGTGTGTCCTGGTGTACAAGGCAACTCAGTTTTTCTCAGCTCCAAATGAGTGCTTATCACAATACTCAGTGTCTACGTCAACTTTACCTTTTCTGTTAATAAATGCATGTTTAGGGTTATTCTCATATTAGGAATCAACACCAATTTTTCAGCTCAGAGATACCTGTTTATACTCACCTACTAAGTCGAAGTGATGCTGGAAGAAGATGAGCATGACTTTAAGACTAATCCAAACACAGTAGATTAGCCAATAGAAATGGAACCCCTGTACCAAGCCCTGGGTCACATTTTACACTCTGCGTTTCAGTCAAATCCCTTGCTTGGAAGATTTCTTTGAAGTTTCAAAAATCGACTTACACATCATGATTTATGCCCCAATCAAAATCAGTAAAACAAATAATCCAGCCATTGTCATACTGCTAGCTGTGGGATCTTGCTGTGCACAAACTGGATGCCACATTTCTGATGTTAAGGTAATGAATTATACTGTGTAAGTATGGCCACTGGCTGTGCTGTGCAACATCCTGAAATCGTTCTGTCCTCCTGTTGTCTACTGTGCATTGAGTAAATCTTGCCGCAAAACAGTTCAGCTCCAATCTTTGCTGTTTTTACAAGTAATCCTGAGTTGGATGTTGTTGCACTAAGTGGGAGGATTGGTGTGTGGATTGAGCAGGCAGGAGTTACGTTTCATTGTTCTGTCCTGCACAAATGGACTAGTGTCTGCCTTTGACAGTGTACCACAGACAACTATTAACCAAAGCATCCTGCTAGGAATATGATCTGTCAGGTTGGAAGTTTAAGATATTTCAAACTTCAGTGATACATGGAATAACAACAATTCATAGAAAGAGAGCAAACTCAAAAAGAACAAAGAGCGACATGAAAACTGGCGAGGTACAGACTGTGATGACACACTTGTTCAACAGGTTGTCAGCTGCTATGCACCTGTATGGACCTCAGGAAAATAGCAAGCTTTGTTGGCCCACTCTCCCTATTTCCCAATCTGGTAAAAAGCCTCTCTCTATTTAAAATATGAATCTTCCGACAGAGGAAGAAACTGCAGAACACTGTCGGATAAAATAACTGAGCTGTCAGGCCTCACAGGAATCTGTTTATATGCAATAAACAGTCCCAACCCATTGATTTCAGGCTAGTCCTAGGTCATTTTGAATCAGTAATAGGCAATTGGGAAAGGCTAATACCAGGGAGAGGGTTTGATTCCTTCCACAGCAGATGGTGAAATTTGAATTCAATGAAAGGAACAGGAACAGGAGTAGGCCATTCAGCCCCTCAAACCTGTCTGCCATTCAATGGGGTTATGGCTGATCTGTGGTCTAAGTCCATATAGCTACTTTTGGCCCATATCCCTTGATAACATTGCTTAACAGAAATTTATCTATCTCAGGTTAAAAAAATTAATCATTGATCCTGCATCAAACTGCTGTTCATGAACAAGAGTTCCAAACCTCTACCACCCTCTGTGTCAAGAAGTGCTTTCTAACATCTCTCCTGAGTAGTCTGGCCCTAATTCTCAGAATAATCTTCCTAGTCCTAGAATTCCCAACCAGTGAGAATGCCCTTTCCTGTTAAAGTCTTCAATCAGATCACCCCTTAAACATTTAAATTCTAGATAAAACAGATTTAATTTGTATAATCTCCCCTAATAACTTACCCCCTGAAATCCAGGTGTCATTTTTGTAAACCAATGTTTTACTCCCTTCAAGGCCAATATATCCTTCCTAAGGTGTGGTGCTCAGATCTGCTCTCAGTACTCCAAGTTGGGTCTAACTAGGGCTTTGTATAATTGCAGCATCACTTTGTATCCTTGTTCTCCAGTCCTCTAGATATAAAGGCCAGCATTCCATTAGCTTTCCTGATTAGTTTCTGTACCTGGAATATTGATTCCTGATGTAACCTGTTGGAGAATCCATGACTGGCAAGTAATCTATTTCAAACAGATGGGGAAATATTTAACTGTTGATCAGTATATCTGCAGTCCTGAACTCTCTCTTTTCTGGGATCTGGACTTCCAAGAGATTTGGAGCAGTGTAATTCTGTGCAATAGCATGGTTGACTGTCAAGGGATGAGCTATGCACTGAATGTGACTGTAGTTACAAGCTTGATTGATGATGGTCTAGTGTCTCTCAAAGACCACAACAGATATCAAGGCACAATTTAAGTCTATTCATCAACTTTTTTTGGAACAAAATTTACTGGAAAACTTAGCTTGGATCTACTTCTTTCTCTTTGACTGAGCATTAGAGGAAGAGGACAATGTTGATGTTAATCTTGTGGGCTTGTTACCCTGGGGTTGATAGATTTAATCCCATGAGGATGCTACATTTTCTGGGCCTTTAAACTACAATAAATACTCAATCTAGGGGAGGCAGAAAATGATCACAAGCAAATATCCACTCAACTATCACCATTAATCAGCAATACTGTTCTTAAAGAGTGTTAGTTACATTGTTAGGATCTGAGCCTGAAGCAGTCTAAACAAACATCTTCCCAGAGGTGAGGGGGTTAGACACTGGATTGGAATCCAGAGTCAAAACTGATGCCATCCAAATTCCAGCCATCCAACCAAGAGGTGAGTGAGAATTATGAAACTATTTCAATAAATCTGGATATATTTGTTTGCAGCAGAAAGCAAAGTAACCACCAAATCTGTTAGTTATTTAAAAATCCAATTATTTCACACCCATAGTCCTTACAGAAATCTGCCACCTCAACCTAGTCTGGCCATAACTTGACTTCATTTCCTCATCGAGCAGGCTGAGTAAATCAACTTGCCAGAAACCACAAGTGGTAGCAGAAAGCCCATTAACTTCTCAGAGTAATCAGGGATGAATAATAAATTAGTATTACCACATCCTAAAACCAAATGGGAAAATAATGTCCTGTTCTTGTTAAAAATCTCCCTTGATCTTTGTGATGCTAACAGGTCAAATTCACCCTCGTTAAAAACTAATGCAATATTTAGGACATATTTTATTTTGGCTTTTAATGTGAGCGGATTAAAAAAAGTTGAGAAACAGTACAACAAACCAAAAGTGTAAAAAATGCCCTCATTATTCATAAACATGTACAAAATATGTAGTTTCATAGCAAAAGTACAAGAATATCAGTAGCCACTCTCACAAGTGGCAAAGCTTGTGGGATATTTGTGGAGCTCCCCAACAATATCTCAGCTATTCTAAATTGCAGCAAAATGTGGGCGAGACACAGTGTGAGACCAAATTTATCGATCGTATAAAGAGCCTGACCAGCACAGATTGTGGAGAGCAAACATGGAGAAATAACGCCCCTGAATATTGAAAACAATCGTCTCAGTTTTAATCTTTCTGGATTTTGTTGGGAATATTATTCCTGGAATTCCTTCCAAAATCAGTTTGTCTCCCAATGTTTTGATCTCAGCAGAAAGAAGGTTACAATAGAAATGTGTTATTCCTGCAGGAAGGATCATTTACATGTGACAAGGACTAGAACAGCACATTAATAGATAGAACCAGGAATAGGGAATAGGGACAGTGGGTGGGAAAGAGGGACACAGGTTTGTTTCAATGCTGCTGATTTCTTTGATGCTGTTTTACACAGTGATTAGTGATGAGTTTTTGCATTTTGACAGCCATAACTTCGTTCCTTATTCTGGTGCGCTAGTTAGATAAAAGCAGTAATCTAAAGTCTAGAGACAACAAGGTGCAGGGCTGGATGAACACAGCAGGCCAAGCAGCATCATAGGAGCAGAGAGGCTGACGTTTCGGGCCTAGACCCTTCATCAGAAAAGGGCCTTTTCTGATGAAG